CGACCATCTCACACTTCTGTTTAATCAGTTTTCTGTTTGTTCAGCTGTGTGAAAACCCCGGAGGAACCCAGCCAAGTGATTAGTTTTATTTAATCTAATCTTATCTAATAACTTTAATCTCAGCCAAACCGATTTACTCAAATAACAAATAACAAATAAAACACTGAAATAAATAACAAACAATAACATTTTTATGTTATCTAAGTGACTCATATATCATGTTTAACCTGAGTGGCGAAAGACCGCGGGGGTTTGAAAACGATGTGCTGGGAGTTCGCTGTTCTTGCCGGCTTAGATATTTGAAGTTTACACACCTACATTCTCGCCTGAAAATATGCTAAAAGTTTAGTTTCAACCCAGAAAGAGTAATAAGAGTAATATTAAACCTAAGTAGCTGCCGCCATTGTTGGAAACTGGAAATGGCTGGAATGAATTCTGGGATATGGTTTTTCATTTTTGTTGTCCGGGTGGAAAATCAGGAGAAATTTGGGAGAATGGTGGCTCCGGGAGATTTTCGGGAGGGGTACTGAAATTCAGAATTCATGTCATGTATGCCTGTCGCCTTGACGTCTGTGGTCATGAAATCCCTTGAACACCTGGTGTTAGCCCATGTGAAGGACATTACAGGCCACCAGTTGGACCCTTTGCAGTTTGTCTACCGGTCAAACTGGTTGGTGGATGATGCACTGCTTTCAGCAACTTCATGATAGCCTCTAGAACAGGGTGGGGAGCTCCAGGCCTCAAGGTCTGGTGGGCCAGCCTGCAGGTTTTAGATATCACCCTGGGTCAACACATCTGAATCAAATGATTAGTTCATTACCGGGCCTCCAGAGAACTTCAAGACATATTGAGGAGGTAATTTAGCCATTTAAATCAGCTGTGTTGGACCAAGGACATGTCTAAGGACCTGGCCCTTGAGGTCTGGAGTTCCACACCCCTATTTTAGAAGGTTCCTAGCAGGATAATGAGAAACAGGTGATTGATTTATCGAAATCTGTCATTTCTTCAGGAATAGTTCTCCAGGCTTCTTGAAGGACATTGCAAAGCTCTTCTTTGGATGTTTCTGCCTTCTGTTCTGTTCTCTGTCAACATGATCCCACACTGCTTCAATAATGTTGAGGTCCGGGCTCTGGGGAGGCCAATCCATGACTGATAGTGTTCCACTCTGTGTTTTTTGTCTATCCAGGTATGTTTCTACTGCATTGGCAGTGTGTTTTGGATCATTGTCATGAAGAAAAATGAAACTGTTTCCAATCAGATGCTTTCCAGATGGTATTGCATGCTGGATCAAAATGTGATGGTACTTTTCTATGTTGATAATTCATCAGTTTTGACAAAGATCTTCAACATCGTTGACTGAAATGCAGCCCAAACAATGTCGGAGCCTCCACCATGTTATACAGATGACTGTAAACACTCACTGTACCTCTTTTCTGCCTACCGGTCTGCATACTAATGATGATTAGAACCATAAACATTCAGATCTGTATTCATCACTCCATCAGACTGGTTTCCACTTCCTTTCAGTTCAGGCCCTTTCTTCCTGTTTCCCTTCCTGTTTAAGAATGGCTTCCTGACAGCCACCTTCCACTGAGACCATTTCTGATGAGGCTTCAGTGAACATTAGATGGATCAGCTGAAGGTCCAGATGCATCTACCACTTCTTTTTTCCTCTGAAAGACTTAAGTGAAGTGGAAATGTAGCTAATGCCTAAAGAAAAACTTTGAGAGGTCTTTGGAAAGCCTGGGGAAATACTGCTCAAAACCACTTAGAAAATTACAGGAAATTCTGACTTCTTGGAAGAAATGTGGGCTGGGTCAAGACTTTTGTACTCCATTGAAGTTTTCAACTTTGTAAAATATAAGAACTACAAAGAATAAATATTAGTGAAATAATTACGTTTTAAAACCGGTGATTAGCACCTTTTTGTTGTCGGTACAAGATTATAACTTTTGATATTTAGACAATAATATATATTTTTTAAAGTTTCGTGTTTTTTGTTATGTTTTTTAAATACGTCTTTTATTTTCAGTTATTACTTTCTTATTCCAGAATTTTTTCACATGTCAACGATCAAACATAACTTTTAAGTTAAGTTTCAGTTTCAGAGTTGTAGGTGTCCTTGCAGCTTTCGCTTTCTCTGAAAACACGTGGTCACTCTCGGCTCTTCTGTGTACTGACTTTCTCCCTCCGAAAAGCCTGGGTCATGTTGCTTTAAACTAAATTAAAAAAATACATTTTATGTACAGTGTCGTTTTCTTTGACTATGAACAATGACAAAATACATCTTGACTCTTGATGTTATGCGTACAGGGGCAGCTTTAAATAAAAAAACTCCTTCTGTGTATTTTTTTTTTAGGCATGCTTGGTAGCTGTCAACAACAGCCGTTTTTCCCTCTTTGTGATTGGCTGACTCGTGGAAAAAGGCGGGGGCTTGTCGTAAATGGTGTGCGGTGATTGGCTGATAGTGTTTCCGTAAAGTAAGCTGCGCCACCGGAGTAGAAAAAAGGTAGGAGAGCTGTGTGGCTTGTTAGGCACATTTAGGGACTCAAGCGTTTTCGGAAACAACTTACTTCCCGTGGAAGCTTGTACACGTTACCTTTACATTAAAGGTAAGTTACACGACTTACATGTTCAAAAGGTGACGTTGTTATATATAAATCGCCTCTGTGACCCTTTTATACAGCAAGCCGTGCTAGGAGAGCACTTAAACTTGACGTTGCTAATCGGTAATGCTTAATAAAAAAACGACTCCTGCAAACACTTGATGGCAGTTTACGCGATATAAGAGTTCCTCTGTGTATGTGTTCATATTTGTGTATCTGTCCGTAGCCGTTATTTAAATCAAATCTTAACTTTTTACACGCTTACGTCCATACCTCCAACCATTAGGGGTCCGAAACGTAAATAATTACCTGTCAACCCAGTGTAAAAGTCGGGATCTTAGTCGATGTGTAATACCAGATGAATTATTGTATATGCCGATCTCTCAGGTGAGGCACCAACATATAGAGAATCTATTGAGTCTTGTATTGTTAGACGTTAAAATAAGGGGCTCTGCTTGAATCTTAAAAAAGACAGATTACCGATTAGAGTTTGGCTGATGAGAGCTGGAAAGGACCACAGGGCTGCCTTAAGTGACTTGGGGAGCCAGAAAGATTAAAAATTAAAGCTGTGAAATGGATTTATTGGCTATGATCGTATTATGAATGTGGAATTAGGTCATATATATATATATAGATACACATACGTTTAAATACTCTTAATGATATATTTTTTAACTGATGCTGGAGGCAGAGTCACATTTGTGGGGAAATTGAAACCTAAGCTGAGCTTAGACGCCTCCTACATTCAGGTTTAGCCACTTAGAACAAGATAAACACAGATAAGATTGCGTTTGATTTAAAAAAAAAAAAGAAGTAAACAACAAAAAGGTTAATTTGTCTCTTCTTTAGCTGTCAAACAATCCTGTTTTACAATATGGGAATTAATCTGTGCAGCTAATTACAGTTTGAGCTTCAGTGTCTATGAAATTCAGCTGCTTTTAACAGAAATCAGTGTTGGATGTTCCTTTACATCATCACACACACATCTTTCTTTGCTTTTACTTTCTGATCTTAAGTCAGAGCACAACTGAGCCAGGAAGGAGGTGGGTGGCAGCCCGTGACAATCCTCGAGTCAGCACTTATAATTTCACAATTTCTCACACTGTAAACAAGCAGCTGGTTTTCTGTAGTGAGAAAAATGTTTTGGAGCTTCCTGACTTTTGTCTTCTGTCCACAGTGATGCAAGGAGAGTCAGAAATAAAAAAAATATTTTCAATTAGATCTATT